TAACCGTCTCGCTAGAGCTTGCGATGTCTTAACCCGTTCTCAAAGCCTTGTCCCTCAGAACACACGAGGAATCACAATGTCTCGTTATTACAGATTTTCAACTAATATCGAAACAAAAATAAATGTTGAATCAAACAGATTTGTTGTCAACGGCTTTTATTCAACAGATGTTGAATCTGTTGCTCTCAACAGAGTGTTGAATCACTATAAAGTGTTTATCTCTATGGGAACTGTTTAATATCTATATCTATCCCAGCACACAGCGTTACTTTTATTCATTTTTACGTCGCCACAACGCAGTAACGTAGCTACAGAGTTGTAGTTACGTTTAGATTTATTGACGTAATACAGTTTAAAAACCCCACAGTGACCTTGAGGTTCATAATAGAACCCAAATAGAATTATCTATTCAAACAACTACAGACACACACTGGTTTGAAAGTCGATACTGAAATGTCTATTCTGAAGGACCTCTTCGTACCTGTGAATTCTAGGGAGTCTTAAAATAGACCCCCCTCTTGGCCTGTCTCTCATCACCGATACTAACTTGCTTGTAATGACCCATAGGGCATCTTAACTTAGGAGTAATGACCTATAATACACACCACCTACACTCAAAGGGGGGGGGGGGAATACACCGAGATGTGTATAGTCTGATACTCGGTGTATCTACACTGACAGTTTGCTTATACGTGAATGATATACACGACTAAAGTATTCTTGTTAGTTGTTAGTAAATACTTGTGAGAGCTTTTAAGCCTTTTAAAGGTTGATGGGCCTGGATACCCTTCAGGCGTGGAAGGTGGCAGTTTACCTGTGGCCTCCACAGTTTACCTGTGGCCTCCACAGTTTACCTGTGGCACCCCACAGTTTACCTGTGGCCTCTACAGTTTACCTGTGGCCTCCACAGTTTACTCGTGGCTCCCAGCAGTTTACCTGTGGCTTCACACAGTTTACCTGTGGCTTCACACAGTTTACCTGTGGCACCCCACAGTTTACCTGTGGCACCCCCACAGTTTACCTGTTGCCTCCACAGTTTACCTGTGGCACCCCACAGTTTACCTGTGGCCTCCACAGTTTACATGTGGCCTCCACAGTTTACATGTGGCCTCCACAGTTTACATGTGGCCTCCACAGTTTACCTGTGGCCTCCACAGTTTACCTGTGGCCTCCACAGTTTACCTGTGGCCTCCACAGTTTACCTGTGGCACCCCACAGTTTACCTGTGTCTCCCCACAGTTTACCTGTGTCTCCCCACAGTTTACCTGTGTCTCCCCACAGTTTACCTATGACAGCAAATCTACACAATCTATACATTCTCCAAAGCAGTTTACCAAGGTGTTTACGGCTCAAGTTCCCTCTCCACAGAACAAGACAAGTTTTACAACTTGGTCGCTCGAATTTCAGGAATATTCCCGCCACAATCACTACCCAGAAACTTCCCTGGGGGCCTTGTTTTTTTCCCCCGCCCGGCATTTAAGTTTCCCCAGAACTTGGGCGTAAACAAGTTCTCTACTCTTGTGGTGAAATCTTGCCCGAAAGTACTTCGAACTCTCTCGGAGCAAAATGTTAAAGATCTGGGGCCTGATTCACGAAGCAGTTACGCAAGCACTTACGAACCTGTACATCTTTTCTCTATCTTTGGCGGCTTTGTTTACAATTATTAAACAGCTAATGAACTCCGAAGCACCATAACGCTGTTGATAACAATAACAACAGTTGAATGAAAACTTTTCATGCATGTAAACTGTTTAATAAATGTAAACAAAACAGTCAAAGATTGAGAGAAAGATGTACACGTTCGTAAGTACTTGCGTAACTGCTTCGTGAATCTGGCCCCTATTTTTAGTGAGGTTTAACTACCAGTTCTTGTCTCAAGTATTACTTCATACGTTGTGTGGATATTCCGACTCATTCATGTGTCAAGAGTAGTTAAAAAAAAACTAATTTTAAGGTTAAATGACCCGTAACGATGGTGTTATTTTCAGCTAAAATATTTTGTGTGTTTCTTCGGCCTGCTGCTGCTGCTTTTGTCATTGTTAGTTATTACTGCAAGATGTTAGGGTTTCTTGATTCGATATCCTGATCGAAATCCAATCTCCGATTAGAACCACAGGACTATGTCCAGCTGAGAACCTGTGTTTTGTTAGTAGCCCTACAGAGGACGGAAGAGGATCAGAGGACAGGTGACACCAAGAGGACAGGTGACATCAAGAGGACAGGTGACATCAAGAGGACAGGTGACATCAAGAGGACAGGTGACACACCAAGAGGACAGGTGACACACCAAGAGGACAGGTGACACACCAAGAGGACAGGTGACACACCAAGAGGACAGGTGACACCAAGAGGACAGGTGACATCAAGAGGACAGGTGACACATCAAGAGGACAGGTGACACACCAAGAGGACAGGTGACACACCAAGAGGACAGGCGACACACCAAGAGGACAGGTGACACACCAAGAGGACAGGTGACACACCAAAAGGACAGGTAACACACCAAGAGGACAGGTGACACACCAAGACGACAGGTGACACACCAAGAGGATAGGTGACTCCAAGAGGACAGGTGACTCCAAGAGGACAGGCGACACACAAAGAGGACAGGTGACACCAAGAGAACAGGTGATACGCCAAGAGGACAGATAACACACCAAGAGGACAGGTGACTCCAAGAGGACAGATAACACCAAGAAAACAGGTGACACACCAAGAGGACAGGTGACACACCAAGAGAACAGGTGACACACCAAGAGGACAGGTGACACACCAAGAGAACAGATAACACCAAGAAAACAGGTGACACACCCAGAGGACAGATAACACACCCAGAGGACGGGTGATACACATTTTCAGAAGCAGACGGGAGAAAAACAGTCGAGAAGGAAGGGCCAAACTGGACAAACTCAGAAAGAAGACTCCACGTCAAGGAGTTCAGGAGTGACTTTCTCTTTGTCAGAAGTTGGAAGTTGTCTTCCCTTCACTGTATATGAGGTCTTCTTTCTCCAAGTTACATCCCCATAATCTTCCATTTGTCAGGGTTAAAGTCTAGTAGCCATGTCTCAGACCATCTCTGGAAACTGTCATGTCGAAATACAGTGCTAATTCGTCTCATTAGCTTAGTATAATTAGCAAACATTGCTAAGAATGAGCTTAATTACTTTGTTAGATTGTTTACATCAATTAAAAATAGGATGTACCCTAGTATTAACCCTTGAGATACTCCACTCATTAACCTATCTTATGTCTTATCTTATCTTATCTATCTTATCTATCTTGTCTCTTACATATGACTCTTGGGCTTCTTTCTGTAAGGTACTCCTTTACCCATTTTAATGCTTTTCACCATCCTGTATTCCGAGTTTGCGTCGGAAAATGCGACCTTCTTGAGGTCATCTTGAGATGATTTCGGGGCTTAGCGTCTCCGCGGCCCGGTCCTCGACCAGGCCTCCTCTTTGTTACACATCCCCCAGGAAGCAGCCCGTAGCAGCTGTCTAACTCCCAGGTACCTATTTACTGCTACGCGACCAGGTGCACCAGGGTGAAAGAAACTCTGCTCATTTGTTTCCGCCTCCGTCGGAGATCGAACCCGGAACCTTAGGATTACGAATCCCGAGCGCTGTTCATTCAGCCGTCAGGTCCCCGACTTGCCCAGCCTTTTCTCTCTTGTTTGTCGTCTTGTCGTTGAATGGTAATTTAGTCAAGTAAATCTGGTGAGCACTTGTGTTTTTTTACCACTCAAGTTATTCATTAGAACAATCAATAATCCGTAAGCAATAACGACTGTTTAGGAACATGTGTTCATTAGCTTGATTATTAACGTTTAAGTTAATAAAAACAATTATTAATAAAAAGCTTTAGTAGCAGAGAGAGAGAGAGAGAGAGAGAGAGAGAGAGAGAGAGAGAGAGAGAGAGAGAGAGAGAGAGAGAGAGAGAGAGAGAGAGAGAGAGAGAGAGAGAGAGAGAGAGAGACAGAGAGAGAGAGAGAGAGACAGAGAGAGAGACAGAGAGAGAGAGACAGAGAGAGAGAGAGAGACAGACAGAGAGACAGAGACAGAGAGAGAGAGAGAGAGAGAGAGAGAGAGAGAGAGAGAGAGAGACAGAGACAGAGAGAGACAGAGAGAGACAGAGACAGAGAGAGACAGAGAGAGAGAGAGACAGAGACAGAGAGACAGAGACAGAGAGAGACAGAGACAGAGAGACAGAGACAGAGAGAGAGACAGAGAGAGACAGAGACAGAGAGACAGAGAGAGACAGAGACAGAGAGAGACAGAGACAGAGAGAGAGAGAGAGACAGAGACAGAGACAGACAGAGAGAGACAGAGAGAGAGAGACAGAGACAGAGAGAGAGAGAGACAGAGACAGACAGAGAGAGACAGAGAGAGACAGAGAGAGAGAGAGAGACAGAGAGACAGAGAGAGATACAGAGGAAGGTTAGAGTAGAAAACAATAGAAGGAAGAGAAGTAGGAAAGAAGAGGAGGGAGGGAAAGGAAAGTGAATGGGAGAGAAAGCCAGATAAAAGCCAGAAAGAAAATGCCTGAGATAATCCAGCAGCACAAGTCGACCCAACGAAGACAACTTTCTCTTCTTCGAACTCCGAATCCCAGGAGATTACAAAGTTTTTTTTCCCGCGGATTGTGACCCAGAGGGAGTTATTTTTGCCCTGCTATTTTCACAAGCGAGTGACATCACCTGGCGGATGGTGGGAAATAACCTGACTTCTTCGTTCGTGAGGTCCTTTGACTTCACCTCAAACATCGTCTTGCTCTAACGATGTTCTCCACATGCTCCTTCGAGGGACACACGCACCCTCACGCACGTGAAGACACACACACACACACACACACACACACACACACACACACACACACACACACACACACACACACACGCGCGCAATCTTCGATGTTTCTCAATCTCAGTATTCGGTGAGCGAAGCGACAAGTGACAGGGGGGCGGGGGTGACCTTCGGCGTCACGCAACCCATCACACGCACGGAAGCACACGCAATCTTCCACGCTCTTCCGCCCCCAATCTCAATTTTCCGTGTTTTGCTATTTTGATGCGCCATTGATGGCATTGGTTGGTATAGACTGCCTCTTGTCAACGCGGTTTATTGACGATGTATTTCAACTGTATCCGGACCAAATTTCCTTGTAGTAATATATCATTCCCGCCCGACACATGCGAGTATTGTCCTTGACCTGACCCACTCCCCGCAAATATTGACCCTACAGAGCCCCGATTCTTGACCTCCCCTGCCAATATTGACCCCTACAAACCCCGACCATCTTGAAGTCACATACCAATATCGCAAATTTTGACCTCTTCTCCCTCTTGGCAGATATCGACCTGAACGACCCAGAGGTCCAGAAGGCAGCTACCAAAATCCAGGCGGGTTTTCGAGGCATGAAGTCGCGGAAGGAGGTGAAGGACCAGCAGCACCCAGCAGCTCAAGAACAAGACGAGGAAATTGCTGCCATTGACCTCACCGATCCAGGTCAGTCTTATCTTGAGTTATCTTGAGTTATCTTATTCCTCTCCCTTTGACGGGTACACAGACCTTAGGAATAATAATATAATGTATGCAGGCGATGAGTCACAATAACGTGGCTAACGTAAGTTGACCAGACCACACACTAGAAGGTGAAGGGACGACGACGTTTCGGTCCGTCCTGGACCATTCTCAAGTCGATCAAGTTGATCAAGACAATCGACTTGAGAATGGGTCCAGGACGGACCGAAACGTCGTCGTCCCTTCACCTTCTAGTGTGTGGTCTGATCAAAATATAATGTATATCTTCAAGATTTACTTCCTATTTTAATCATAATCCCAAAGAACCAATAAATCGCAAGAAAATTAAAATATATATATATATATATATATATATATATATATATATATATATATATATATATATAAAACAAACATTAAGGCTATGTAAAACCTCGAACTCTCACCCAAAAAAACAAATCATCGAATAGCTTCAGTGTTTTCATATAATAAAGAAACTAATGAACTTACAAGGCGGAAATAAAGATTTATCATCAATAAGCTAAGGAATCTACTCTCTAAGACAGCTAAGAGGCAAAATCATTGCATAAACGACAGCTAAAAAAATAGTAAAGAAAGCAAATTTTAAATTAAAAAACATTTCCTGGAAAGAATAATCTCGGATTGACAAGGATCGAGGATAGTAAGATAACAGTCAAGAGGATCGAAAGATAGCAGAATAGGCACATAAGAGTGTCTGAAGTCTTGAAAATTTCCTTCTCAAATGATCCCTTCACCAGTCCTCCTTCCAAGTGACTTCACCACCGCCTTCATGTTGATAAAAAATTTGCAAAATGTTGCAAAACACCTGAGATCTTAGGCTCGGAACGCGTCGTTCATCTATGTAAATACCTTCATGAACTGTACACTTGGGCTCTGCAGTTCAGTAGCAGTAACTAGAGATAACGCGGAATCTCGTTACGACAATATTAGTACTGATTAGTGTTGTCTCATGACGACCCACATGATATTAACAGTAACTAATGATGTCCCAGGACGACCCCCATAATATTAACAGTAACTAATGATGCCCCAGGACGACCCCCATAATATTAACAGTAACTAGTGATGTCCCAGGACGACCCCCATAATATTAGCAGTAACTAGTGATGCCCCAGAACGACCCCCATAATATTAACAGTAACTAGTGATGTCCCAGGACGACCCCCATAATATTAACAGTAACTAGTGATGCCCCCAGCATGACCCCATGATATTAACAGTAACTAGTGATGCCCCCAGCACGACCCCATGATATTAACAGTAACTAGTGATGTCCTAGGACGACCCCCATGATATTAACAGTAACTAGTGATGCCCCAAGACGACCCCCATAATATTAACAGTAACTAGTAATGCCCCAAGACGACCCCCATGATATTAACAGTAACTAGTGATGCCCCAAGACGACCCCCATAATATTAACAGTAACTAGTGATGCCCCAAGACGACCCCATAACACAAGCAGTAAATAGAGGTAACCCAGAAGGAGGCTGAGTACGTGAACTTTGTACAAAGTGACGGTCGTTCTGGTGATGGCTGGCCGCAGGTTTGCTCTTTACGTTGTTGTTGTTGTTGTTAAAGATTCGCTACCTGGAACAAATTTCCAAGTAGCACGGGCTATGGTGAGCCCGTAGTTGCTCTTTACGTGGAAATCCTTGAGGGTTTGTGTTGCAGAATCTGGCAACCTCTCTAACGCCCAATTAGACGCCCTTCCCAGTGCTATATAGTCCTAATGGCTTGGCGCTATTCCCTAATAGTTCCCTTCCCTTCCCAATTATACGAGAGTGCATCGAACGAGCGTCAAAAAATACCCCACCAATGTAAACTTAATGCTGACCTACTGGGTCAGCACTTGATTGGGTAAGGGACAGTTGCACTTACAGTAACTTAATTGTTTCTGGAGGTTTTAGTCTTTAGTGGAAATTGACCTTAAGTAATCTAACCAAAACATAAGAATAAAGAATCGACTTGAGAATGGTCCAGGACGGACCGAAACGTCGTCGTCCCTTCAATTTCTAGTGTGTGGTCTGGTCAACATACTTCAGCCACGTTATTGTGACTCATCGCCTGCATAAGAATAAAGGTAACTGCAGAAAGCCTATTGGCCCATACGAAGCAACTCCTAATTTATAACCACCCAATCTCATTCATATATATGTCTAACCTACGCTTGAAACAAGCAAGCGATCAAACTAAGCAAACTGTAGAGAAGCTGTACAAGAAATATATCCCAACTGGTTTAACACTATTTTTTGGGGGTCTGGTCTCAAGTGATGGTGAGTGGAGAACGTTAATGGTACTCTAGCTTGCCCCACTGACTCCTCCAATGGCATGGTTAGCGTCTCTTTAACCTTCTAAGTGGATGTAATGGCCGGCTTTACCTTCTCGCCTCTTGACTTAGCATCGTTGGGAAGATTTCCTTCGGCTCGAGAGGAAAAGAAACGAGTTTAAAAGAATAAAATGTAAATATTTCAACAAAAAAATAAGAAAAGGGGATTCCGGTTCGCGTCCAGGAAGACTCATTCAGGATCCAGTCTTCAGACGTTTATTGTGGAGACAGAAAAAGGCTTTCAACACCTTTGACTTAAGACGGGATCCTACGTATCGCAATCTATCCGAACTCAGAAGCCAATAGACATTATAAATCCCAGAATCTAATCTCTCTCTCGCACCGTTTTTTGTTATTTGTTTACAAACATGTTTACAAACATGTTGCTTTTAACTTAAATATAGTGATCCCGACTAACATGCAACGGATAACTTTTCTTGGCCTGATTTGTCCAAAAAGAAAAAAGAATGAGGTTAAATTAGGTGATCTGATCAGGTTAATTAACCCGAGTTCATGAATCCAACCTTAGTTTTTTTTTCATAGATGTAGACGTTCCCAAAGCTACATTTTCTCGCAAGCACAACGCCATACAAGCTTGGGCATAGATTCTGGCGCTGTAAAACATCTTTGGCATAGATTCTGGCGCTGTAAAACATCTTTGGCATAGATTCTGGCGCTGTAAAACATCTTTGGCATAGATTTTGGCGCTGTAAAACATCTTTGGCATAGATTTTGGCGCTGTAAAACATCTTTGGCATAGATTCTGGCGCTGTAAAACATCTTTGGCATAGATTTTGGCGATGCAAATCAACTTGGGCATAGATTCTGTCGATGCCAAACAATTTGGGCATAGATTCTGGCGATGTAACAACTTGGGCATAGATTCTGGCGATGCAAATCAACTTGGGAACATCAGACAACAAGAACGGCTCAGAGATGCACGCTCGCTGTTTCGCCCAGAAAAGTCGTAGGTTTGGTAAAAAAAAGGAGAAACCCCTCTATGTCATTGCGGTTTTGTAAAGCCTCACCCAGTCTAACGTATTCAAACTTAAATATTCTAAACAAACATATAGCTAATCTAGCCGAAAATACCCCAATGAAAATAAGATAGTATTCTGAGTTGAATGATAAACACGAAATCCGTGACGTCATCATGACGTAGAGGGCCTGACGGTTGAGTGGACAGCGCTCGGGGTTCGTAGTCCTAAGGTTCCGGGTACGATCCCCAGCGGAGGCGGAAACAAGTGGGCAGAGTTTCTATCACCCTGATGTTCCTGTTCATATAGCAATAAATAGGTACCTGGGAGTAAGACAGCTGCTACGGGCTGCTTCCTGGGAAGGATGTGTAACAAAAAGTAGGCCTGGTCGAGGACCGGGCCGCGGGGACGCTAAGCCCCGAAATCATCTCTAGATAGCCTCAGGATAGTAATAGTCACGCTAGTGCAGGTTTTACACCCTAATAGTACTGGCAGTCTTACCATGGAGCGAAGGTACCGTCGTGCCGGTTGGGCAATGAGCATAGTGGAGCATGCTAATCAAAAGACCAGCATCTAAATACATGTGCATACATATGCATGTATGCATACAACAATCACAAAAACATTGATCCATCCAAGTATGCGGAAAAAAACACATTTGAGGAATTAAGAGAATGCTGAACGCGTTTTCGGTTCACTTCACCTTCATCAGAGCAAGATAGTGGGTTCCTCTATCTTAGCTCTGATGAAGGGGAATTCATCGCGTTCAACATTCATTCCGAAAACGCGTTCAGCATTTTCTAATTCTTCATATATAGTTTTCCCATATATGCATATTTATAATATATATATATATATATATATATATATAATATATATATATATAATAATATATATATATAATAATATATATATATATATATATATATATATATATATATATATATATATATATTAGCACATGACATGTATATACATGTAAATATGTATGCATAACAAACGTATATCTGAATATGTATATGTATACATATATGCGCATGTGTGTACAAGTACACAAATGACATGAATATATGCACAAATTACATTATACATAATATATACACACACACCCACTCAAAGACATTTGTATATAATGTATACAAAATGTACACAAAACATATGTATATTTTGTACACATTTAACATGTATAAATTCTCTTGTTTGAATATTTATTTTAACGAGAGCATAAATATTATCAAGGAATGCTCTCTGGTCATATAATAATTTATATATCACAAAATATAAATTTAACAAGCAAGGTCTAATGTATGCTGTATATATATATTGTATTTTTGTGAGTTGTATAATGCTTGATATATTAAAGGGCTCAACATTTATCAAATTAATGATATAAAATGTTGCAGCTATTAATAAATACTCAATTGTATTTGTGTATATTATGCAACTATTGTTGTATATCATACACGAATAATACAACTCGCTGAGGAACGAAGATGGCGGTCGTCTGATGTGTGTGTTTCACTGTTTACAGAGAACCTGTAATAATGTTTGGAGAAGCTACGAGGTACGTCTGTATGTGGTTGTGTGGTGTGTGTGTAGGTGTGGTGTGTGTGTAGGTGTGGTGTGGTGTGTGTGTA